TTTTAACGAAGTTTTACGCTTTCTCACTTTAGCTTGCTCCCAAACGGGTGTTTGATCGCTACCCGGAGGATACGTGGATATATGTAACTATTGGGACGTTGGGAGCTGCGATTTGAACCGTATGCACCAGAATCACTTCAGGCCACTCCCAGGTGAATGGTAGTAAAATTCTGTTCCCATTTAACTGGACTTCTGCGCCCGGAATGATCCAGCACCGGTTTGTTGCACGGTAATAATGAATGAATCGAGATTAAGTAGAGCAGTTTAACCGTAGCCCCATACCTAAAAGACGGGCACTTCACCTTGAAGGGAATATTCTTACTATATACTGTCAGAGAGAGAAAAATCGAAGGTTTGTCATATAAAAACCGTTTATTTTTAATATAAACTTTATTTTTTAATTTCGTTTTTTTGGTTGTTGGCGCTTCCATCATCTGCCAAATTTGGTTTGGAGGTACAACAGGTTTCGGTGTTGGCACGTTCTATGTTTTTAACAAAAAGTTCCTAAAAAATACATACATATGTATATAGAAAATAGCACAGTTCCAGCTACTTCTCGATTTGCAGGTTTTGCAGTAAAAGCTGTTTTCGCCATTAATAAAGGAAGTTGGCGACCGGGAACACCTTCCTGTAAAAACCTGCAAACCGTGAAGCACCGGAAACGCAACTAATAGTTACTCGTATTTCGATTTTATGAACTTATGCATATGTAAATATATTTTTGTATGTTATTTGAAATGGCATTCAATGCTGCGGTAAATAGGCTGGTGATTATTTTCCCTGCGAAAGGGCATTACGCGATCTCTCAAACGCTGGAATTACAAGTAAAACATATACGATAAAAAACGCAAAACTACCTGACATTCTGAAATTTGTAAGGGAAATCGTTTGGTAAATAGGAAGCACTTAAACCAAGGCATATTCAACAAGATAGAAGTGACAATTCAGTCGAGCTCTCTCATACCTGACTGTAATGTCAAAAAATGTAAACAAAGAAATTAACCCTTTGTTATGCATTTACCATATTTGATAGAACTCAACATCTTTGAAATGAAAGTTTTTGTAAATATGAAAATATTTAAAATCTCATTAGAATCAGCTTCATTTTATTTATTGAATTTTCGGTTTAATGTAAATGTGGAAATGCATACTTACACAAAATTACACACTAAATGAAACACACTCATTTATAAAACCGTTTTGACAATTTTCTTGCTTTTACTATCCCAATGTTTTTGAGAATTTATTTTTTTATTCAAATACTTAATTATAAAATATGTTAGACATTAAAAAAAGTTTGATTCTTCTAAATTTACTTTAGAACTTAACTTCAATAATTTAGCTATTAAATTTTTGCTATTCGAAATTTCCTTTCCACTAAATTTATTAAAAATTACTTTCAGTTTCTTTATGTCAACAAGGAATACTGGTTTAGGTTTTATCAGACCACTATTTGAAATTTGGCCTATCCATGTACATATGTATATGAAAGGGAGATTTTCTTTTAATATTCGGTATGATAAATCGTGCACCTGGGACCAAACGCGTCCACTTAGAAATACTCAGCTGCGATAGGCAACAAATAAAGTCACGACCCCACGTGAAGAGTCTCCTAATGAAACATCGCAGCAATTTGCCCTCCGTTGTCGCTTCACTTGACAATTCGAAGGTTTAAAATAACGCACAAGTTTGTTGTCCAGGCTCTTGACAAACACAACGCACCGCTCGCAATTCCTTTTCATTTTATTATGTATTTAAAATCAGTCGCACAGCTCACAATTGAAAATTTATATAAAAAAAAAAATTTTAATAGTATAGGGCAAGGCGAATTTATATTATATATCAGCTCAGCTGATTTTGTGTATGTGTTTCGCCGCACGGCTTCTGATATCAAATTGAAAAATTTTGCTTGAATTTCTACACACACTCTTACAGATTTTGACAGTTTATGCCGTCAAAGCAACAACAAAATACATGTAAATTTTTGTTTTTGTACTCCTGCTATCACCTTATAATTCGCCTTGGTATAGGGTTAAGAGTTGACATTTCAGTCGCAGTTCAAAAGAGAGAAATGTCGAAATCACTTCTACCTTAATTGTTATGCCTTGACTTACCGCCCTACTCCCACACCACTGACAAAACTCACCGGCTGACTATTGCCTTTACAACTGCGCCTAATACTATGCCACAAATTTATTTTAAGCTGTTAAGCTGTGTGGAATAGGGCGGTTAAACGACGTTTCTACAGCTCTCGCCAAAAAGACGTAAGCGACATTTTTTCCAAAATTTTCTTTTTGATGCAGAAATGTTGCTTGAGCAGCCATATACAATTCTGCATCAAAAATAAAATTAAAAAAAAAATGTCGCTTATATCTTTTTGGCGGTCAGGGCTCGATATGTACNTTCCCACACCACTGACAAAACTCACCGGCTGACTATTGCCTTTACAACTGCGCCTAATACTATGCCGCAAATTTATTTTAAGCTGTTAAGCTGTGTGGAATAGGGCGGTTAAACGACGTTTCTACAGCTCTCGCCAAAAAGATGTAAGCGACATTTTTTCCAAAATTTTCTTTTTGATGCAGAAATGTTGCTTGAGCAGCCATATACAATTCTGCATCAAAAAAAAAATTTAAAAAAAAATGTCGCTTATATCTTTTTGGCGGTCAGGGCTCGATATGTACATATGTGTGTATACGCTCACCTGGACGGTACCCCAAGGTAATTCTCCTTCAATGCACAACCGACATCCATGATTTTGCTGCTGCATCCATGACCTGATCAATTTCTCATCACACTCATCACGGCAGCCAATAAGTCGAATCAATTTCAGCTGGCTACCCATCTTTGGTAGTGCCAAAATCTGTTCGTAACTAAAAACCCGACAGTACTCGTAGGTAAGTGACTCCAGCGATGTACAATCACCCAACAACTTTAACCACTCGTCGAAGCATTCCTGCCACTGCCATGGTCGCCCATTGATGGTCGCCAGCTCACGCATGGCCGCATATTCACCCGCACGCCAAACGCGCTGTGAAGCATTTTCTAGAAAAATATACTCATTCGCGCAGTGCAACGTACACAATGACTCCCGGCGCCTGAGAGAGAGCTCAGTAAAGAGCGATTTCACGAATTCTACAAAATCATTTAACCAGTAGAATTTTAACTCTTTCAATGCAGCTGCTGCAACATCTGAAAGTGCATACATAGCTGCCAAATGGTAGGTGGATGTAGTAGCTCTTTACATTCCACCAAATTCAATGATTTAAGCTGTAAGGTACGGCAAGTTTTGCGCATTAGACGACGCCGCAGGTTCTCGCAATCGTGCAAGTTGAGCAATTCCACGCGCCGTAGCAAGTGAAAGTGTTTACCCAACAGCCAGCGTGTGCCCGCGTCCAGCAGCTGCAGCGCACGCAGCTGCGGACANGAAGCATTCCTGCCACTGCCATGGTCGCCCATTGATGGTCGCCAGCTCACGCATGGCCGCATATTCACCCGCACGCCAAACGCGCTGTGAAGCATTTTCTAGAAAAATAGACTCATTCGCGCAGTGCAACGTACACAATGACTCCCGGCGCCTGAGAGAGAGCTCAGTAAAGAGCGATTTCACGAATTCTACAAAATCATTCAACCAGTAGAATTTTAACTCTTTCAATTTTGGCAACTCCAATATGGCCGCCAGCAAGGATGTATCCGCCAGAGCTGTCAAATGCAGCTGCTGCAACATCTGAAAGTGCATACATAGCTGCCAAATGGTAGGTGGATGTAGCAGCTCTTTACATTCCACCAAATTCAATGATTTAAGCTGTAAGGCACGGCAAGTTTTGCGCATTAGACGACGCCGCAGGTTCTCGCAATCGTGCAAGTTGAGCAATTCCACGCGCCGTAGCAAGTGAAAGTGTTTACCCAACAGCCAGCGTGTGCCCGCGTCCAGCAGCTGCAGCGCACGCAGCTGCGGACAATAACGCGCCAATTCACGCACGGTATATTCGGCGAGGAACTTGCCTTGCACCTCAAAGCTTTGCAGCGGCGCGAAGTGCACTAAATGACGACAAAGTATGATATTCATGTAGCGCTTGGCATTCTGCATCATGTTGCCCGGCTGATCGGCAATGAAACGCTGTATGACGGGGAAGAAGAGTACGCTGTTGAATATCAAGCGGTGAACATGCGGACCGACCAGCAGGCAAAAATCCCACAATTCGTTGTCGTTCAGTTCATGGACGACTTTGAAGTGGTAAAGTGAGAAGAGCAAGGTGGCATAACGCTGGCGCCAAATGTCCACGATGACTTTGTGAAAATAATGGCACACCTTGGCTAAGGCGAGTTGACACTTGAGCGAGCATTGTTCGCATACAATACGCAGGCAATCAGTATTAAGGTTTAAAAGGCTAGCCGTTGATGTTAAGTTTAATTCTAGTTGCTGGGTATAGTGTGTTGCAGGAGGTAAATTGTAAACTCGTAAGCCAGGAAATAAGGAAAACGGCGGAATTGACGATAGTTTAATAAAGCTGCGAAAAAACTCAGTAGATGATTCCTGAATGTATAAATACTTTTTATCTTACCTGTCATACGTTTCTTCAGTTTCACAGCAAACTATGGCTACCAAGCATGTCTCTAGTGGTATTAAATCTTCCAATTTCCACGCTTGCTTATGACGATTCAACAGAATACAAAGCTTTCGAATTGATAACTAAAATAAAAGCAGCACTAATTATATGCGCAATAAATTAATTATTATTTATTTATTCCAAACATACACTTCTAGGCAGTCCAACAATTCTAATTGTTTGCTTATTATTATTCATAATATTAAATCACAACTTGGTGAGAAAAAATGTAATCATTAACTAGCTGCGTACGTATGTATGTAAATTCAAAAAAATTTAACTCGTTTGAGTACGTATTTAACGGTTTTTATAACGTTAACTGGTATACTGAATGGTTTACCAACTAATTGCGTCAGCTGTTCCGAAAGTGCTAGGATCAGCTGTTTCTTGATTGGTTAATAAATACCCAGTTGGAAATTTTAGACGTTCAAATATGTATATGTACNTGTACGTATGTATGTAAATTCAAAAAAATTAAACTCGTTTGAGTACGTATTTAACGGTTTTTATAACGTTAACTGGTATACTGAATGGTTTACCAACTAATTGCGTCAGTTCATTTAATCGACGATGAATGCACCAGCTGTTCCGAAAGTGCTAGGATCAGCTGTTTCTTGATTGGTTAATAAATACCCAGTTGGAAATTTTAGACGTTCAAATATGTATATGTACATACTAGCAGACCCGGCGAACTTCGTCCCGCCCAAAATTTTTATATATTTTATTAAAACTTTTTGGTCCAACATTTTCACCAACAATTCACGTTTACGATTTTCATTGGCACATTCGTCTGCTAAGATTATGGTTTGGTGGTCATTTGCCGCTTTAAATAACCTAATAAGTATCCGTGAAGAAGTTCTTGAAATTCTCCAGTTGTGCGGCATTTCATAGCACGGTTATTCGCAAAGCGAAATAAATTATTTTCTCTTCACTCCCTGGTGGCAACAATGACCCGGTTCTATAGTAAATGTCCTAGAAGCTTTACAGTATAGTTGGTGGCACTTTCAAAATGGGTGCGAATCATTGTTCTACAGAAATGCAATATACATATACTTATTTCAGACGAAATACCTTAAAAGTTTGAACGCATAATAATATTGGAAAATCACATCCATTGGGCCAATCGCAACGCAGGAGCGTTCGATATACTCAATGGTGCAACAGGTCGATTTAATCTGACCTTCACGGCCCCTTTTCTCACTTGGCTATTTTTAGTAATAGCTCGACTTCAGCACCACTTGGCAGCAAGTTTTTGCAATAGTATTGCATACATATTTAAAACATTATCCAAATAGGATCATAAAAAAGATTTTTAGTAATAACTCAACTACAGCGCCAACTGTCGGATTAAATTGTGAAACTAAACAATCCAGAGACCCACTCAAACACACAAAAAGTTTCGTTAAAATCCGTACAACCATTTAGGAGGATTTCACTCACCAACACACCTACAAAAGAATTAAAAAATACATTCAAAGATAGCTAAAGGTCGGTACGTTTGTAGGCCTCACACCCCCTTTTCAAATAGCCCAAATTTTCTCCATGAGTATGGGCTTGATTTCAACTACATACATATCTGAATACTTTCAGAGATATGCAGTATAAAAATTCGATTTATATAGGAGGTGCCACGCCCCCCTTTCCAACAGCTGCCCTCTTCTTCATCAGTATGCGATTGATTTCGCATATCTCCGTACCAAGTTCCAGAACTATACCATGAACACTTCCAGAGATATGCAATATGAAAAATTTGGTTTGTATGGAAGATGCCACGCCCCCTTTCCCAATAGTTCCAATTTTCTCCAAGAGTATGCGATTTATTTCGTACATCTCCATACCAAGTTCCAGAACTCTACCATGAACACTTCCAGAGATACGTAGTGTGAAAAATTTGGTGTGTATGGGAGATGCCACACCCCTTTTTACAATAGCTTAAATTTTTCTCCAAGGGTATGCGATTGATTTCGTATATCTCCATACCAAGTTCCAGAACTCTACCATGCACACTTTCAGAGATATGTAGCATGAGAAATTCGGTTTGTATGGGAAGTGCCACGCCCCCTTTACATATAGATTTTTGTTTAGCCTAAAACCATCCTTGGGACACGTGCGGCGGTGGCAGTTTCAAAAAAATCGGTTTAGCCGCTCTCGAGCCTTGCGAAAACTAAAAAACGGCTTTCAAAATATATATTAGCTGAGATATATTATATATTATAATTATATTTTGACAGTATCCGTTGTTTCAGATTGACGCAAAAAAATCTTGCCAAGTGACGAATTCGCCCCTTGATATGGTCGTTGCTCAAAGCTATTTATATTCGAAATTGCATTAAAACTGGAAAACAGGGATCTATAAGCTTATCCAGGTAAAAAGCTACCTAAGTACCGAATTTTAAGCAAATCGGACCATAATAAGATTGTTTCGAATAGATCGGTCCCTGGTCCACTTCTCGGAAAAAATTGATCATATATGCTAAAAAGCTACCTACGTACGGAATTTTAAGCAAATCGGACCATAATAAGATTTTTTCGAATAGAACGGTCCCTGGTCCACCTACACGAAAAACATGGTGGTTACCGAAAGCTATTTATATACAAAATTTCATGAAAATCGGACCAGCCGTTCACGAGATTACCTGTGACAAAAAAACAGGGACTTCTCTTTATATAATTTGTATAAATGTATAGATATAGATATAGATATAGATATCTACGCTCATTTATTATATGGTGGTTGCCATAGCCAGTGCCTTTTTGGTGAATCTGAAATCAGCTATTGCATTTACTAGTTAGTCTTTTGCCCTACACATGAATTTTGTTTACTTGGATCCTATTCAACCTCTACACAATTCTGCATATGATAACATCTCAAAAACATACAACTTCTTAAAAGACTCTGATCAACTTTGTCGTATCTAACTTGCCCTCATTCACCAGTAAGCCGAAAGCCTCTGTTGCTAGCGCTGTGTTTTATGGTTTATATAATATTATTGTTATCCAAGCCTTTTATAAATAAATAAAAATTTATTTTTTCACATATTTAATTTAATAGATGATTCCCTAAACTCCAAAAAAATTGGAAAATCCTTAAGAATTTTTCAAAGAAAATTTACAAGATTAATTTATGTACATTATTTAAATGTAAACAAAATAAAATTATTTTTACTTAAAGTTAACCTTCTTCAGTTTTAGCGCATTTATAGGCCGTATGATCTTTTTCCGCTCTTCTCGATGTTTCTTCATTAAATACTCTCTCTTCTTTTCATCTTTAGTTGCCTTCTTCTTCATGTCAAATGTCATTTGTCGGTTACCCAGTGAACGTCCAATCGTAGTCACATTCGCGCTAGAGGCTTCATTGAATCGTACGCGATCCTTAAGGCTAATTTTCATTATTTTACTGCGCATTTCACTTAATTTCAGGTTGTTATCTTCCAGAGATGTCATTTTAACGCTGGCTCTTCGCTGATTATTTGTTGATGAGCTAGTCGTGTTGTCCATTGGAGTTGTTTGCTCATCATCGCTGTTGGCATCCTCATCACCCGCGTGTTCATTTTCCGCAAGTTCCTCCTCTTCACGTTGTCTTCTCACATCCTTGTATGCCTTCTTCATTTCTTTTGAGAACTCACGCACTCCCTCATCATCTGAAGATTCTTCGGCAACCGATTTGTTTCCATCATCTTCATCACTTTTTTCGAAACCAAAAAGATCCTCATCATTATCACTTTCCTCGTGTGGTTTCGCTTCGTCTGCATGCAGCTCCGCTACGCGTGCTACTTCAACGCGTTTTTTTATTTCTTTAAGCTTGGATTTTCCGAGGCGATTAAGCGCAGGCGCCACCAGCTTGTACTCTTCAGCATTCTTGTTAATAGCAAATTCCGGATTTTCAAACATTGCCTTGAAACGTGTATCCTCGAGTAGATTTGCTGCTTTAGCAGACTTTTTGGAATTAGACTGCTCGTCCATAATTTTAAGTGCCAGCTCTTGATTGACTTTTGGAAGGTTTGACTTAATCTGTAGACGTGATTTACGCTCACTTTCAATCTCTTTACGTATTTTCTCTTTACGGAAGCGTTCAAAGGCAAATGGATCAGCCACAGCTTTGGCCCTGTTGTATAAACGTGCGTCGATGAAATAGCTAAAAAAAAAGTTCGGTAAAAAATTTAGATTAGGTCTTTTTGTGTATGCATTTATAATTTACCCGTGCATGTAGCCTTTCAGTAGATTACTGCCAATCAAATGCTCCAGTCCCAATTCCTCCAATTCATTCTGCGTCACAAACTGATAATCGTCGAACATATTCTCCACCACCTCAGATTCAATTTCTTCCGTAAGATTATCTAAGAATGAGCACCAACGCGGCGCCGGACCCATTGAAGGCACGTAGTAGGTCAACATTTTTACATCTTCTTGTGCAAGGAAAAACATTCCTGTATCGGGAATAGTGCAGAAATCGTTGAAGGATGTTGTGGATTCTATGTAGGCGACTTGTTTGCCCTGAAAATTCGTTACTATTAAATGTTGTATTTAAAGACAAATTCGACTTACAGTGTTTTCATCCCACAATTTTAACATAGCATCATCCAAGAATAAACCGTCTGATGACCAGGGTTGAAAGCAATGCGCTTTACCGCCACTTTATTTAAATGATCCTTTACAAGCAGTGGGTCATGTGAGCGTATGTCATAGAGAAG